TTCCCATCTATATATCTTCTTTGGTGAGCTGTCTGATGAGATCTTTTGCCCATTTTTAAATTGGGTTGTTTGTCTTCTGACGGTTGAGTTTTAAGAGTTCTTTGGATATTTCAAATACCACTCATTTATCTGATATGTTTTACAAAGATTTTCTCTTACTCTGTAAATTATGTTTTTTTTTTGTGAGGAAGATCGGCCCTGAGCTAACATCTGCCAATCCTCCTCTTTTTGCTGAGGAAGACTGGCCCTGGGCTAACATTCACGCCCATCTTCCTCTACTTTATATGGGACGCCACCACAGCGTGGCTTGACAGGTGGTGCGTTGGTGCACGCCCGGGATCCAAACTGGCGAACCCCGGGCCGCCGCAGCAGAGCGCACGCACTTAACCACTTGCACCAGTGGGCTGGCCCCTGTAAATTATGTTTTTATTCCCTTAACACTGTCTTTCTCAGAGCAGGAGTTTTTCATTTTAATGAAGTAGGATTTTTGTTTTTCTCTTTTGTGGACCTTGCTTTTTGGTTTTGTATCTAAAAATTCATCTCCAAACCCAAGGTCATCTAGATTTTCTCGTTATCTTCTAGGAGTTTATTCCTTTGGCATTTTACATTTAGATGTGAAAAGTGATGTGATGTGTTTTGATTTAATTTTTGTGAAAGGTGTAAGGCCTGGGTCTACATTTGTTTTGTGTGTGTGTGTTCGCATGTGGATATCCATTATTTCCACCACTATTTGTTTAAAATACTGTTTTTTACATTTGCATTGCCTTTCCTTCTCTGTCAAAGATCACTTCACTATATTGGTGTGGATCTTTAAGGAAAGCAGTTGACTCACATATCCTTCAACCTTGCTATACTGTCTTATGAATTCCATGAGTTATTTCTGTTGCTGTGAATTCTTTCAGATGTTTCAAAGAGACAATCATGCCATTTGGAACAAACGTTATAAATTTAGCTACAAGATTCATAAAGATGTTCATTCTTAAGAAGTGGAAGTCCCCCTCTATTACTTGTTTATCATAAATGGATGTTGTATTTATCAAATCCTTTTTTATTTTCATTTCCTCCTTTCCTTTCTGATATGAGTAGTTTCTGTCTTCCCTCTTTTCTTTGTTATCTTGACTAGATGCTTATCAATATTATTAGTCTTGTCAAAAAAACAGCTTTTTTGTTTTAATTTTCTCCATTGATTTCCACAGTGACATTGATTTCTTTTCTAATTTTTATTATTTCTTTTATTGTGCTTGCTTTGGGTTTAATTTACTCTTCTTTTTATTGTTTCCTAAGGTAGATGCTTACATTATTGTTTATAGATTTGGTTTTCCAGTGTATTTGTTCCATGACAAAAATTTTCCTTATCTACTCTTTTTCCTTCATCCAAAAACCTTTGGTATGTTCTGTTCTTATTTCATTTAGTTCAAAGTAAGTTTTTATTTCTCTTGAGACTTATTCGTTGATCCTGTGTGTTATTTAGTAGTGTGTTGTTGAATCGCCATGTATTTGGGGATTTTCCAACTATCTTCTTGTTATTGACTTCTAGATGAACGCCTATCTGGTGTGAGAGCATATTTTATACGACTTCTGTTCTTTTCAGTTTGTTAAGGTGTGCTTTAGGGGCTTGCCCGGTGGCGCAGGCGGTTAAGTGCGTGCGCATGCTCTGCTTCTGCGGCCCGCTGTTCATGGCTTCAGATCCTGGGCACACACCAACGCACTGCTTGTCACGCCATGCTGTGGCGGTGTCCCATATAAAGTAGAGAAAGATGGGCACAGATGTTAGCTCAGGGCTGATCTTCCTCACCAAAAAAAAGAAAGAAAGAAAAGAAAAAAAGGTGTGCTTTATGTCCCAAAATGTGGTTTGTCGTGGTGACTATTCCATGTGAACTTGAGAAGAATGTGTATTCTGCTGTTGTATAAAGTGTTCCATAGGTTACAATGAAATCCAGTTGTTCCACAGTGCTGTTCAGGTCATCTCTGTCCTTCCTCGTCTCCTGCCTACTGGAATTTATAATCTGTGATAAGAGGGTGTTGAAATCTACAGCTACAGTTCTGTATTCATCTGTTTCTCCTTGCATTTTATCAGTTCTTGCCTCATGTATTTTGCCTCTCTTTTGTTATGCAGGTACACAGAGAGGATTGCTGTGACTTCTTGGAGAATAGACCCCTGTATCAGTATCTAATGTCTCTCTCAATCTCTGAATTTTCTGGTTGGAGTCTGCATTGTCTATAATTTGTATACCTATGGCAGCTTTCTTTCCATTAGTGTTGGCATGGTATAATTTTCTCTATCCCTTTACCTACATAATCTCATAGACAGATGAAAGTCTGTCTATGTCTTTAGGTTTCAAGTGGGGTTTCTTGTAGACAAGATATAATTCTGGTATTTGAAATCTGATATTACTGTGTGTTTCAATTGTATTGAGACTATTGATGACTAAAATTGTTATTGATACAGCTGGATTATATTTACCCAGTGTTTTAGTGGTTTCTATTTTTTGCCCATGTGTTTTGTTTCTTTTTGTCTCCACCTTTTTTCCACCTTCTCTGGCTGAAATGGAGCATTTTCTCTGATTGCTTTTTCTCCTCTCTTAATACAACAACTACATATTTTTGAAAAGCATTTTTTGGTGGTTGCCCTTGAGTTTTTGATATATATTTACAAGTAACCCCCCTCCTCTGCCAAATAACACTATATCACTTCCTTGTGTGCAAGTACCTCTTAACACACTATTTCTAATTTCCCCTATCTGTCCTTTGTCACATTGCTGTCATTTATTTCACTTGTCCATAAGCTTCTCATTACCAAATACATTGTAGCTAATATTATTTTAATCAGAGTCACCTGTTTTATTGACTATAAGAATTATAAATGTTTTACTTTCTTTTTTTTTTTTTTAAAAATTTTATTTATTTTTTTTTTCCCCCCAAAGCCCCAGTAGATAGTTGTATGTCACAGCTGCACATCCTTCTAGTTGCTGTATGTGGGACGCAGCCTCAGCATGGCCGGAGAAGTGGTGCGTCAGTGCGCGCCCGGGATCCGAACCCGGGCCGCCAGCAGCGGAGCGCGAGCACTTAACTGCTAAGCCACGGGGCCGGCCCTATAAATGTTTTACTTTCATTTTTTTCTTTTTCTAATCCTCTACCTTTATCATTTACATTCTTTCTGATAAATTTGTGAACATTTTATTCAAAGTAGGTGTACTCATGACAAATTTCCTCAATGTTTGTCTCAGAAAATTATTTCTCCTTTATTTTGAAGGATAATTTTGCTTGATAGAGAATTCTAGGAGAGTGCTTTTTTTATTTTCAAAACTTTAAATATTTCACTTTACTCTCTTCTTGCTTGCACGGTTTTTGAAAATAAGGTCAGTTTAATTCAAATCTTTGGTTCTTTATACCTGAGGTGTGTTTGTTCTCTGGCATTTCTCAGTATGTTCTCTGTCTTTGATTTTTCTCTAGTTTGAATATGATATTCTTGGGTGTGCACTTCTGTAGTTTATAATGTTTAGTGTTCTTTGAGCCTCCTGTATGTAGTTTCCCAGCTCTCATTAATTTTAGGATATTTTGGTGATTGTTACTTCACTTCTTTCTTCTGTTTCTTTCTGTCTTTCTTTTCTTTCAGATATTCCCATTATGTGTATTTTAAACATTGTGTTAAAGAGAGTTGTCCTAGGTTTCATGGATATTATCTTCTACCGTTTTGTTCTTTTTGACTTTGCCTTGGACTCTGGTGAAATAGATTTTTTGTTTAGTACAGGCCTTGTTAAGAACAGAATACCTGGGACATATTTCAAAATGCTGTTTTTTTTTTCTTTTCCCAATTTTGGAGACAGTGTTTTGCCCTGTGACCTCAAGGCTCTTAAGGATCTAGGAAGAGTTATTTTAATTTTGTTCATTTTTTTCCTTGTGAGATCAAGAATAACAGCTTGTAACTTCCTTACGTGTGGGATCAGAAGTTGGCAAGGTATCACCTCGAGTGGCTGGTAGGCAGACACTTCCTCTTGAAGTTGGGGAATGGAGATTTTATGTTTTTTGGAGGAAATCACTGATAAACCCTTCACGTATTTTATAATCATGGGCAAATTGACTATCAAAGCTTTGTGGACTTAGATGGACCCTCTTGCAATCTGCAGCTCTTAATCTGTTCCTCAAGGGTAGCACAGCCCAGGGTACACTGTTAGCAGTTGATTGGAAAAAGCTCCTATGGCATATAATTATCTCACTATGTGTTCTTCAAGTTAGTGGAAATTGAGGCAAATGAGTATAGGGATTTTATGGTCTAAGTTGTCATGCCTTCTTCCTTGTGTCTGAGCACTAAGTTCCAAATAACATTCTAGTCCCATCAAATCAGACAGAGAGAGAAATGAAGAACTGAGACTACGATAAATATTACGCAAGTTAAATGCAATGCTTCCCTATAAGAATATTTACATTCAGCCAGCTGCATCTGCTCACTTGTAATGGCCTGGAGTACTTTAGGACAATGCTGCCAGCTGGGAGTTTGTTAAATGTTTGATTTCTATAGTCCTTCTGGACTCTCTGGTGATGGGACTAGACAAAAAAGCTTCCAGTTCTTCACTAATGTCTTTATCTTTTGAAACCTCATGCAGATTTGAACCTCTGCCTCATAGAATGCTATTACTGAAGGGTAATAAAGAAGAAGATGAAAGAACTTTTCTCACAAGAAATCATTAGTCTTAAAATGATAATATTTGTTTCATCTCTATGGCATTTCTGTCATTTCTCAACATGCTTTGGACCCTGGCATTACAGACAAATATGATGTAATGAGATCACAGTAAAAATGTGTAAATAATTTCCATGTGTTCACAGTGCTGTTAAATTGATGAGGAATTGTGTACAGAAAAGCAGTGAGGTTTTGATGATCACAACATAGAATAAATAGAGATAACAGAATCATGCATAACCTTCCTACAAATGGAATATAGATCCCCGGTGCTGTGAGTCTTATGCATCCTACTCTACACACATTTGTGATGTTTTAGGACCCAGTGGCCATTGAGGATGTGGCTGTGAACTTCACCCCAGAGGAGTGGGCTTTACTAGATCCTTCACAGAAGAAACTGTACAGAGATGTGATGTTGGAAACCTTCAGGAACCTTGAATCATTAGGTAAGAATGAGAACATTTCTTTATTTTATCAACTAGAAAACAAGTGTTTCTTGCCCATCAACATTGTTTGAAGATATAGAATATGGAAAGGGGGGGATGTTGGTAAATAAGTGAGAAATGATCATAGCCCATCATGGACTTAGAATCTGAACATTTTTCTGTAATTTCTAATATCTTTGATATCGACTTTTTGAGTCTGCATTTCAGGAAAAACATGGAAAGTTCATGACATTGACGATCAGTACAAAAACCAGGGGAGAATACTAAGGTGAGTCACACTAAGAACAGAAAGCAGTGTCTCACATGAGAATCCAAACAAATAACCTTTGCTTCAGGTTTAGCTATTCTTAGAAAATTTTCTGTATATATGCCTTCTGAAATGTCATGTAGTGGTTCAGTTTTTGGAAAATAATTCACTTGGAAAGAGTGTTAATAAACCCTATATAGAAATATCATTTTTTTTTAATAGGAAGGGTGAAGGCATCTTGCAGAATATTCAGTATATTCAATTTCAGAGAATTCAGACAAGACAGAAAAACTATACATTTCCTATAAATTGTAATAAATATCAAATCATTCTAAATAAATCATTAATAATGTGCGTCTCATTTTTTACAGAAATCATGTGGTAGAGAGATTCTGTGAGAGTGAAGAGGATCGTCAATGTGGAGAAAACTTTAGCCTTATTTCAAATCTCAATCTGAACAAGAAAACTACTGCAGCAAAGCCCTATAAATGCAATGCATGTGGAAAAGTCTTCAAGCATCGTTCGTCCTTTAATAGGCACATTAGATGTCACACTGAACACAAACCGTATGAGTGTCAAAAATATGGAGAGAAGCCATATAAATGTAAGGAATGTGGGAAAGCCTTCACTTTTCCCAGTAATCTTCAAAGACATGAAAGAACTCATACTGGAGAGAAACCCTATGAATGTAAAAAATGCAGTAAAGCATTCAGTAGACTCAGTTCTCTTCAAAGACATGAAGGAACTCATACTGGAGAGAAACCCTATGAATGTAAAAAATGTAGTAAAGCATTCAGTAGACTCAGTTATCTTCAAATGCATGAAACAGTTCATACTGGAGAGAAACTCTACATATGTAAACAATGTGGGAAATCCTTTACATTTCCCTCAAGCCTTCAGTCACACATGATCTTTCACACTGGAGATGGACCTTATAAATGTAAGGAATGCAAGAAAGTATTCAGTTCTCCCAGTGTATTGCAAAAACATGAAAGGAGTCACACTGGAGAGAAACCCTATGCATGTAAGGAATGTGGGAAAGCCTTCACTTTTCCCAGTTCTCTTCCAATACATGAAAGAACTCATACTGGAGAGAAACCCTATAAATGTAAAAAGTGCAGTAAAGCATTCACTAGACTCAGTTCTCTTAAAAGACATGAAGGAATTCATACTGGAGAGAAACCCTATGAATGTAAAAAATGCAGTAAAGCATTCAGGTCTTCCAGTTGTCTTCAAATACATGAAAGAATTCACAATGGAGAGAAACCCTATGAATGTAAGGAATGTGGCAAAGCCTTCAGTTCTGTTAAAGGTTTCCAAATACATAAAAGAAATCATACTGGAAAGAAACCATATGAATATAAAAAATGTAGTAAAGCATTTAGTTGTCTTAATACTCCAAACAAATGAAAGACATCACACTGAAGAGAAATGCTTTGAATGTAAAGACTGTGGGAAAGCCTTTATTGCTCTCACAGACCTTCAAGCACACACGATCACTCACAGTGGAGATGGACCTTATACATGTAAGGAATGTGAGAAAGTATTCATTTCTCCAGGTTCATTTGAAATACATGAAAGGAGTCACACTGGAGAGAAACCCTAAGAATGTAACGAATGTGGGAAAGCCCTCAGTTTGTACGCTAACTTAAAAGTACACCAAAGAACTCACACAGAAGGAACACCTTTTGCATGTAAGGAATGTGGTAAGGCTTTCATTTCTCTTCAAGCTCTCCAAATACATGAAAGACATCACAGTGGGCAGAAACCCTATGAATGTAAAAAATGCAGTAAAGCCTTCACTTCTTCTGGTTTTCTTCAAATACCTGAAAGAATTCATACTGGAGAGAAACCCTATAAATGTAAGGAATGTGGGAAAACCTTTACTGCTCCCTCAAGTCTTTGATCACACATGATCTTTCACACTGGTTATGGACCTTATAATTGTGAGGAATGTGAGAAAGCATTGATTTCTCACAGATCATTTCAAAGACATAAAGGAAGTCACACTGGAGAGAAACCATGTGAGTGCAAAAACTGCAGTAAAACATTCACTTCTTCTAGTTCTCTTCAAATACATGAAAGTATTCACACTGGAGAGAAACCCTATGAATATCTGGAAAATGGGAAAGCCTTTATTTCTCATGAAAACTTGAGAATATGCAGGAATACACACTAGAGGAAAAAAACATGTAAATGAAAATGTGGGGAAGTCTTTTGTCATCTGAGTTCTTTCTGAAGGCATAAAAGGACTCACTTAATAAAAACTTCTTGAATGTAAACACCATGGGAAAGATTTCATTTGGCCTGTGTTCTTCTTTGTGAAACTCCCACCAAAAAAATATACACGTAAGTCATGTTTGAAAGCTTGATGGAAACTAATTTGTGTATAATGTTCTCAAAAACTTTCAACATGAAAGAGTTGCTATAAAAGTTGTAAATATATTGTATTTAGCAAGCCTCTCTCTTAAAGTACAACATTGAATGGAATCTATTAATTACTTTCAGAAATGAATGTTGAGATGAAATAACTCTGCAACTCATATTTCATCAGTGGTACATAAGACTACTAGGTAGTGCTTTTTATTTCAGTTAATAATACTTTCTTTTTAATTTTTTAATAATGTTTTAATTGTTCTGCATTAAGGGGCCATTGAAAAATGACATTTTTTATTTGTTGGAATTTTCTTTTTGGCCTTGTGTTGCAGTCCTGGATATGCACAGGGTGGTGGCTATAGGAGCCTTTTTTTTATTTTCCATACTATTAAAGAGTTGGAATACATTTTTATGTATGGCAAGTTTATCAAATAATAATAATTCACAGGAAAGTATATTTTCATATTTGGGTTAAATTAAACCACAGAAGTGTTCGCATTTAGAGAAACAGTTGCATTCCTCTGCATTGCTCTGGCTCATCCTGAGTGTATTCTATGAGTAGAGTGATATCTATGCAAGTCCACTGTGATCTCCCAGTGGAAACTCCAAGAAAAGCTATGGATGTTTAGAGGCAAACATCCAAGGAATAATTGAGGTGAGCTGCAGAGAGGGGGTATCATTCTGAGTGATAGCCTTATTGAGTATAAAAGGAAAAATGGGAAATTCTTAATGTCTTTTCATCACAGGAGTCCCTGGAAGCCTCTAAAGTCAATGATACACAAAGCCCCATAGCCCATGTAGCTGTTCACAGGTTTTATTTGCATATGCCTAAATGTTTAGCACATGTTGTGGAAAAGTGGGAAACAGCAGTAACAGCTTTGAGCTTTAAAACAGCAAAGGAAATGGAATGTATTCCTTTTTTTTAGCATTAACTTACCTATTGGAGGGGTGTCATTCAAATGAGCACCACAGGACTGTTCTTTTGGAGTGAGGGTATGGTTTTAAAATTTGATGGCAGTATAAATTTGTGAAAACTCATGAGTACTCTAAAACTATTTTATATATGTTTAAATATGTGTTATATATATAAATATTAGAAAATGAATAGCACAATTGCTTTCATATGCTAGAAGAATGTTAAGTTCCCCTGCACCTTCACTGTTATGTGTTCAACTCTTCTTTCCACCACTGTGGGATCCTTCCTAGGAAGAATTGCAGGACTGCGCAAGAAGGACTCAGTCCTCCACGGGCCTTTCTTGAAACCCTGTCTTAATTGAAAAAAACACCTGCTAGGGTTGCAGCTGCCCTGATCCACTACTCATAGAGTGAAGTGAAAGGGCTGCCAGGAGCTGTCTCTGAGTGTAAATCAGGTTCCATGGAGAGATCTTTAGAAATAATGTGGTACTTTTTTTTTTTTTTTTTTAAGATTTTATTTATTCATTTTTCCCCCCAAAGCCCCAGTAGATAGCTGTATGTCATAGGTTCACATCCTTCTAGTTGCTGCACGTGGGACTCGGCCTCACGTTGGACGGAGAAGTGGCGCCTTGGGGCTTGCCCGGGATCCGAACCCGGGCCGCCAGCATCAGAGCGCGTGCACTTAACCGCTAGGCCACGGAGCCGGCCCAATAATGTGGTTCTAAAACGTAAAATTGTATCCCAATTGTATGCCCAGGGACATCCTCATTCATGTGCATCAGCATCATTTCTTCTCATTGCCATTCATAGAACATTTCCTGCTGTTCTTTTCCCAACTCAAGCCTACTCTGTGCCTGCTTACTTGGAAACATTTTTAGAAATCCACACATGTCCCACTCTGGAAAATTTCTCTGAGGCAACAGGAGGGGGCTGTGAGCTGAGAGGGGGACAGAAGAAGTGGTAGAACCCATGTCGTGGGCACATTCTGTCAGCCACAGCAACCGTAACATCCCATATTTATCATATCTGCTTACTTATTCATGCAACACTTAGAAATGGACTAACTTGGGGCTGGCCCCGTGGCTTAGCAGTTAAGTGCGTGTGCTCTGCTACTGGCGGCCCGGGTTCGGATCCCGGGTGCGCACCAACGCACTGCTTCTCTGGCCATGCTGAGGCCGCATCCCACGTACAGCAACTAGAAGGATATGCAGTTATGACATATAACTATCTACTGGGGCTTTGGGGGAAAAAATAAATAAAATTATAAAAAAAAAAAAAAAGAAATGGACTGACTTTGAATTGGAGAACAAATGGTTCTAGAATTTTTGAAATAACACACCATTAGCATCTCCCTTTGCAAACCCCTTTACCAGAAAGGCTTTAGCAGCTTCCCATTATCCATACAAGAGTCTCTAAACTTCTCACGGTGGACGTAAGTTGCCCAAGCCATTCTTGTACCAAACTATTCTTATCCAGTGCTGCACACAATTAGAGAAGTCAGTGCTAGCAACTGACAAGAGTCTTTTTGTAAATGGAGGTCCTTCCAGGGCGTGAGTTGATGATCTCCCACAGCCAGCTTCCCATTTTGCCTTGCGTCATGATTGCAGGACCCCTCATGAGTGCTAATCAGAGGCCTTTTCATTCAAGAGATATAAGCACTTACAGGATAGAACCAAGAATGGCATTTCTGGCAAATCAAATCTACAGGAGGAAGTGTATTCCCCTCTTCTCTGTTAGATATCATCTATGTGGAGGAGGTCACTTCATTTTCAGGCACAGTGGCCACTCAGGGAGTCACTTGGGAACAAATGAGTAACCAGGGTGTTCATATACATTATAGACAGTGTGCTGCCACCACAGCTGATGGAGTCCAGTGCAGAGATGCTGCATTCTTTTCCTAGATCAAGCAGACCATCTTTGCTTAAAGATTGGGCCCAAGCATCAGATCAATTTATCAAACACCAGACAATCATGCTAGCAATAGAAAATTCCCTGGCCAAAAAGAGAGCTCGTGCACATTTTTACAGATCCTTTGGCCATTGCCAATGATCTAGCTGTCTCATCCCATCACTAACAACAGCTCCTTATCCAAGGATGCACCTTATACAAGACGGGGAATACCTTGCCTGACAATTAGCCAAGTACAAATCAGGTCACTTTTTTCTCTGCACATATTAAACATCAGTTGGCAGAGGCTCATGTCATTGCTCATGGTGATAAATTGACCCAAATTTCTGAGACACACACCAAAACGTCACACCTGTTGTTATTAACCTTTGCCCTTTGATCCAACGCAATATGAAACCATTTGCAGGCATCTAACCTAAAGGTCTGGATAAAATTCAAGAGACTTCTCTCCTCTGCCGTGGCTACCTTAGTGATTTACCAAAGCAGCTAATGTGAAAAAACAAGTCACTCAATATAATTGAAGGACATACCTTCCAGGCTAAAGAAGGGCTCCCTAAAGCTGATGGTGAATAGACATTCTTAGGGCCTCTTGTCCCCTCTGCTGGGACACTTGCTATGCTCAGACCATGGTGGAAACTTATATAGAAAAATTACTCATGCTACCACAGGTAACATCTTGAAACCAAATTGCAAGGACTCACCAAGACACTCTGGAAATTATTGATATTATCAACTCATTTATCAAAATACAAAACACTGAACTCTTGAAAAAGGTATTCTATGGACTTCATACCTGTCTTACAACCCCAGGCTACCACCTCATAGGATGGCCTAATGGTTTACTTAGACAAATCTTGCATTCTTCTAAATAGATCTTCCTGCTGTTTGAGTCATTAGTTAGATTCAATCCCCAGTCTTGAGGGCCTATTACATTGTCCTGATCATCAGGCTTACTGGCACCTTATAAATAGAGGTCTTTCCATATTAGACATTTCTGTCAGAATGGTCACCCTAACAAGGCTTCTGTTTATTGTAATCATGCACCCCAGCCACCTCTCATCCCACCCCTGGGTCTTCCTCCTAACATCACCTGTACTCTGTGTGCCCTGTGTGTCAATATTTCATTTTGGTAACCCTCCCTCCAAACCCCTCCAACCCCTTCAACCCAAATGTGATGTTTTCCTAACATTTGCATTCACATGCTCATTGTGGTAGAAGTCACTGGTTCAGACTTGGGCATACAAGATGTCGTTCAACATACACATTGTTAAGGCCAATCAAAAAATTTCGAAAACACTCAAAATACTTGTAGCAGACAGCTAATGTTTGAGATGTTTTCCATGAAGGAAAATTCCCTGGCAACCCTGGTAGCTGATGATTAGTTGGCTTTGGATTATTAACCAGCCAGAGAGAGTTCTGTTCCCCTTAAAGGGCTGCTGCTTGTATGTGGGCGGGCTACACTGGTAAAGTGCCACCAATAATGATAAATGAAACAGCAAATTAAAATATAACATTGCTAAAATAATTGTAGAGAGTTCTGGAACCATACTGACACATTTTCCTGGATCTCTCCAATACTTTGGAATGATTGGATTCAAATGTCTATTTCAGGCTTTATCATCTTAGTTATTTTCCTTGTGTTTTTCAAATGCCTTTTTTTTTTTTTTTTTTGTGAGGAAGGTCAGCCCTGAGATAACATGTGCCAATCCTCCTCTTTTTGCTGAGGAAGACTGGCCCTG